ATCTCTGTGAGTTCGAGGCCAGCCTGGGCTACAGAGTGAGTCCCAGGAAAGGCGCAAAGCTATACAGAGAAACCCTGTCTCAAAAAACCAAAATAAATAAATAAAGAAGTGTCTGCATGTCAAGGACTACTTAACGATCAAGCTCACGATCACGGTATGCACGCATACAAATAGACAGTGACAGTTACTGTTTTGTACAATGGACATATGCTGAGAAAACTAGGGGAGAAAAGGGAAAGAACTTCTGTGAAAACCGAAGGAAGACCTAAAAAAATCAAAGTGGCACAAACTTAGAGTACAGCCAGAAGGAGGGGATAAGGGAGGGAGGAAAGGAGAGAATTTTTTTTTAAGTAAGAATAATAAACTTGCCCAAGGATTCTCTTCACAGTTACAACTTTAGCTGAGAGCAGGCTACACTGTCTAGCCAGTAAGGAAAAGAAGGGATCTTAAATATACCCCCAAAACTCTAAGGAAATTGCTTAAGCAGGACTTCATCTCAAAGTCACAGGAATCTGGCTCAAGCCTGGCTTGGCTGGTACAAAAGGAGCTGTCATTAATTCATCCGTTGAACCCTTTGCTAATGTTTAGGATCCAACCAGAAGGGCCTCTGCTAGTTACCACTGCAAGAGCTACTCAGAGTCTCAGCACCGTCTTTGTCTCTTCTGTGGGATTCCTGAAAGCCCCGACCCCCAGACTAAGAGATGTCCCACCTAGCTTCCTTGTCCACTCTTTTCACAAGAGCCCCGGGAGCGTCTGCTTTGTCAACATGGGCATTTCCCTCCCTCCCTGACCCAAGCACCCTTTCCGGGTGTCTAGGTCATCTGCTGAGTCAACGCTTCCTTCGAGCTTCCGCAAAGTCCCTTCTTTGGAAGTCCTGTCCTCTTCCTCGGATGCTTCTCCCCTTCTTTTCCTAGTCATGTGACATAGCAACAGCGTTCACTGGTGTGACCTCGCTAGATTTCTACAGCTGGTGAGCAGGACAGCAGAGGCGAGCCCTGCACACTCGACTGCCTGTCCACTTTCATGGCCTGCACCAATGCCTGCTCAGGCTTCCTCCACACAAGACAGCAGCAGTTCGCTCATTCCTGCCCTGAGGAATGTCCACCCCATTCCTCTTTTGGTCAGGACAATGGAAGGGTCATGAGTCTTGAGATGGGCCTCCCTGTTTCTCCCTCTCCTTCTCCTGTTTCTGCTTCTCCCTCATCCTCTCTGTCTCTCTCTCTCCTCTACCGTTCTCAGCTTCCTGTCAAACAGAATAGTCCTACGGAAGTTTTATTATTATGGCGTCACAAAATTAAAGCATTGCACTTTGAATGACAGTGATTGTAAAGTACGACAGAATGTTCTCTCCGTTGTGAGCTAAGAAGTGAGGGGCTTGCCTCAGGAAGAAATGGGTGAGAAAGGCTTGAGAGGAGCTGTCCCTGAAGCAGCTCTTTCTTGCAAAACACAGACACGATGAAATGGGTCTGAAGAACTTGGAATGCAAAGTATCCCATTTGGGACACAGAGCTCAGCACTGGCGGAGATCTGCCTGCTGTGTGTTCATGGTGGGTGTTGACAGAAGGAAGGGGGTTGATGAAGCTTCACCCTCAAGGGAAAGACAAGGAGCAGAAGGTCCATGCCAGGAACCATTAGGGGAAGAAAATTAAAGACTGTCCACCAACAGTAACTCCAAAAGCTGCCCAGCCATCAGGCTCAAAAAGTGAAAAGGATCCTGTATCGGCCTTCATGACAATGAGAAACTATGTGCCAGCATCCGCCAATCATTAGGACATAGCCTCTCAGGTCAGGGAAGCCATAAGAGAAGAGGTGACCTAGTATTCCCATCACTCAGTAGAAAACACAAGAACCTGCAAAGCCAGCTAGGGCTCCTCAGCTAGGTACTATGTGAGCAAGATGTCTTTCGTATTTTCTCTTGGAAAGGAGGATTTCAGCTGGTTATTCTACAAGGTTGCATAAGGATGTGTCCATCCTTTGCCAGGTTGGGAAGGCTAAAACAGCCACACAAGGCCAGGGCAAAGCTATGAGGAAGTGCCTGAAGCTGGTGTTTCTGCTGGACAGTAGCAGGCGGGTTGGAATTCCAGGCAAGGAGGGACTGAGTAGGACACAGTGTCTCCTCACAAGCTAAGGACAGTAAGACATTGGGGTTTTTACGCCAGAGAAGCCACGTCATCCGAACCAGCCATATACTGGCAGATTTTGTCTTGAAAGGATAAAGAAATCTTCCTCTAAAAACATATTCCCATCTTCTCAGAGAAAAATATATCTGTAAGAAATTGGGTTTTCCTCCCCAGGAAAGAATGCCCTAATTGGTTATTCAATACCAAGTGATCAGCTGTGAAATTATATACATACAGGTAACATTAAACAGAATGAGCAGGCCATGTTTATATATTTAGGATACACATACATTCGAGCACATACATACATACACACACATCTAGATACAGATATAGATATATCTACAATTAAAGAAAAAGAGGCCCTGATTTTGAGAGAGCATGAAGAGGTGCATAGGTAGGACTATAGAAAGGATAAGGAGAGGAAGAAAACGATGCTTTAATTTCAAAGAATAAAAAAATATTTTAAATAAATTTAAAAAAAGAAATCAGGTTTGGTCTTGACTGTAGGATTGGGGGTGGTGAATTCATAGAGCATAGAATAATAAGAACATGATTTCTATGGTTGAACTTTCTGAGTTCAAATCATGAATCTACTAATTACCATGAGACTTGTAACAAGTTATTTGTTTTCCTTGTGCCTCAGCTGTGGCTTCTTCAAAAATTCTGGAAGTAGCAATAATAGGTAGGTAAAGAGATAGATGGGTAGGTGGGTGAATAGACAGATTGATTGATTGATTGATTGATACATGGTGATATATAGTAGATAGATGATTGATAGATGAATAGGTAAATACACAGATGGACAGAAAGACAGACAGACAGATAGATAGTTGATATTAAGGTGAAATGAAATAATACATAGCACTTAAAATAGCATTGGTCCATAATACGCATTCAACAGATGTTACCAGAAAGTGCTGGAGATTGAGAGGAAGAAGAAGAAGAAGAAGAAGAAGAAGAAGAAGAAGAAGAAGAAGAAGAAGAAGAAGAAGAAGAAGAAAGCCCTCAGAGACCTCGATTTCATGTTTAAGAATCATCAAGAAGGGCTTAGGATGAGAGTCTGGTAGAGGGTCTATAGGTGCCATGTTGGGCCATGAAGGAGACAAAAAGAGGCCCCTGAAACAGCCCAAGAAGCAGGCCAAGGAGATGGACGAGGAAGACGAGGCCTTCAAGCAGAAACAAAAAGAGAAGCAGAAGAAACTCGAGGAGCTAAAAGCCAAGGCCGCGGGGAAGGAACACCTGGCCAAGAATCAAGAAATCTGGCAAAAAGTAAGTTGTTCCTCATATCCGAGAGGATGATGACCTTCTTCCCTTCCTATTTAAACATCTGGGTTCCCTACCATAACATCTTTGCCAACTATAGTTAGAATGAAGTGTTATTCTGGAGCCTGTTGTACATTGAATACATACATACGTACGTACGTACATACATATATACGTAGAATCACCAAGGAAAGTTCTCTAAACACAGATGTTGGAGAATCATAGACTAAACATCTGTATCTCAAGCCTCTCCAGATGACCCTGAGGTAAGTGTTCCCAAGAATGTCCTGGAAGAAACTCTGCCCTGAGGATTTCACATAATGGTGGCAACTCCCCTGAAGTGTAAATCTAATTAACCTTATCAGCAAAAACCAGGAGTCAGATATAGGGGTAAAAACCTGAAAGATCAGAGAAACAGGGGAGCAGCCACCAGGGACTTCCTGCCTCTCCAGTTCCTCCAACCAAAAGGGCCAAGATCCTGTCTCAGCCCCGCCTTACCACTTCCTGTCTCCTCCCTGTACAGACCTCCAGACCTCTATGGTTAACTAGTGGCTAGCTCCACCCTCCGACTCCAAGCAAGCTTTATTTGTCAGAACACAAACAAAATGTCACACAACACTTCCCCACACACCCCACCCCACCCCATCCCTGTGGTCAAACCTGCATGAACAATTAGTGAGGGTGAAGCCAGGGCAGGAATCAGCTGTAGAGAGAGATAGGGGCTGCCCATTCTCCTCCACCTGGAGCATTCACTTCATGTGGACCTTACCTCTATCTTGTCCTCTAAGGAATGAACCAACGCAGGGTTTTGTGTGGAACAAGGACAAATTTGATAAGGGTCCTTCAGTCCATGTAATGAAAACTGTCTATCAGGCTAAAAGAGACTTTTGTAAGGACACTCCCCAGTCCTCATTTTAACTCCATGCTTTATCACCTCTTTATAAATCAGTGGTCCTCAACTGTGGATCTCAACCCCTTTGGGGGTCAAATGGCCCTTTCACAGGGGTTGCAGATCAGATTTTCACATTAAAGAGTTGCAGAATTAGGAAGGTTGAGAACCACTGATCCCAGAAGGCTTGAGGCTTTCTGCTGACCCAAGGTCAAAGTTTGGAGTTGACATTTGTGTACAAGCTTGGGAAATTCTGTAGCGCATTGGGAAGATGAGATGGCATCATTCCCGGGTGCTTTGAGTAACCAGGAAACCTCCAGATGTGCCCTCCAGCTCTTCTGGAACACCAGCAGCAGCCCCATATTCCAGACAATAACAGGCTGGGACCCAAAAATGCTCTTTGTGGTCTTGGATCCATTTAAACACCATGCAAGAATGGAGAACATTGGAGCTCGTACCTAGTAGACTCCCTTGAAGTCTTACCCCGCAACATCCTAAGCATTTTGCCTCCCTCCCACTCTGTGGGGGCCTGGGACATGCGGACCGCCAAGTGCAGCAAGGACACATGGCTCTGTGTTCTCGGGAACTAGTTCTGGACTCTACCCTGATGTGCACTCCCAATCAAACACATGCACAGGGATGGACGGCTGGGTGCAGGGCGTGAGGAGGCAGGATGCACTTGGCTTTTACATTAGAAGGCTTCTCAGTGCTCCTTACCATGGGGTTTGAAATTGGGGTCAAGATCTCCTACTCGGTTTGTAGGAGTAGGAGATCTTTATCCCTTTTACTGATGATCCTGCTTTGTCTCCTCTGGAGTTTAATGGAAGAAATAAGGACTTTGGAACACAACATAATGGTTTGAGCCTCAGCCTTCCGGTGGTAACTGTATGAACTTGACTTCTGTTTGCTTCTGCCTCCATGTCTGACAGTCTTTGGAGAATCTTCAGAAAAGAGCCCAGAGTTACAGAAATGCAGAACAAGATTCATGTATGTGGGCTTTGGGGTGCAAGAGAGAGGGGAGCCAGACATTTCCTCCCTGACTGAAGCAGACTCTAGGACAATGGGAGAAAATGATAGAAACAGTACTTCCATGGCTCACCGGCTCTAGGGTGTACTGCATTTTGTGGGACAGCACCCTGGGCTGCCGTGGCTCGCCTTCCAAATGGTACATAACTGAGTCAACAGTAGATTGCTATTTCCTGGCTGCAGAGGGCGCCTGTGAGTGTATGGTCACAGTGTCACAACTGGTGCTAACATCCCATGGTTTACATTCTAAGACACTACTTCCTCCCTGCCTTGTTAATCAAAACCAATTGCCCATGAGATCAGGCTAGCTGCTCGCACAGCTTATTTGTGCCCGTAGAACTTAATGTGCCAATACTCTTCTCCTCTGTACTTTATCTCACACTACAACCAGCAATAATCTGAGCGACTATGATGCCAACATATACCTTCAATTACCCATGTCCAATATTCTCCTGCATAGACGTTTATCTCAGTGGCACTCAAATGAATGAATGATGAACTCAAACTAGAATCTAATAGCATATAATAACCACACATAGCTGGGTTTCGTTGTGACATTTTCATACATGTATATAATGCACTTTGGTCATATTCATCCCATCTCCGTCTCCTGTCCCCTCCCATCCCCACTCTTCCCCAACCTCTTGCCAACTAGTCCTCCTTCTGTTTTCGTGACTTTTTGAAACCATGACTCAATGAGTTTCATTTAGGCTTGCTTAGAGGAGCATGAGTGGGGGATTATTTACAGGAACATGGACTTCCACCTTACTAGTGGCTATACCACTGGAGAAAATGTCAGTCCATCCCCCATCAACCATTATTTGCCTGTAAATCCTCAGACAAGGGTAGAAACTCGCGAGTCCCCCCTCCCTCCACGACAGGATGTTGATGGGCCCGTCTTGCATAGGTGTGGGGATATATTGTTTATAATCTAAGAAATAAAGCTTGCCTGAAGATCAGAGGACAGAGCCAGCCACAGAGTTAAACACAGAGGTCAGGCAGTGGTGGCACACACCTTTAGTCTAAGCACTCAGGAAGCAGAGACATGTCTGGATCTCTGTGAGTTCAAGGCCACACTGGGCTGCATGAGATTGATCCAGTCTAGGAGAAAAACAGAGCCAAGCAGTGGGGGCCCACGCCTTTAATCCCAGTATTTGGGAAGCACACACGCCGTTAATCCCAGCACTAGGAAGGTTGAGATACGAAGTGAAATGGCTGGGTGGGAAAAGGGCATAGAAGGCGTCAGGAGGAGACAGGCACTAAAAACCACTTTCAGTTGAGGACTCAGGAGTATTCAGGCTGAGGATTCGTGGAGACAGGATCGGCTGAGGAGTTGGCAAGGTGAGAAGCGGCTGTGGCTTGATTCCTCTGATCTTTCCACATTTACCCCAATATCTGGCTCCAGGTTTTTATTATAAGACCATTTAGGATTCACACAACATATAGGTCTTGTACAGATGACCATAGATGCTATGAATTCAAGGGTGCAACAGCCATGCCATGCTTGGAGGACAGCATGCCATAATACTACGCCTCTTCCTTCAGGTATTACGTCCTTTCCATCCGCTCTCCCATGACGTTTCCTGAGCCCTGGAGGGGGGTGATATCAATGTTTCCTTTATGAGTGAGCACTCAGTAGTTACTTATTCTCCCCACTTTGACCAATAATGATGACTTGGTTTTGACAGCGTAGATGAAACTTTGGTACAACAATGGGTATATCTTGGCATAAAGGTGTACATGTAGGCTGTTCAAGCCAGATCCAGAATTTTTAACTATATATATCTTAAGTAAAACTTTGATAAGTCACATTGCATTACCTTTCTACTAATGCTATTACACACTACCACACATTCAATGGCTTAAAACAATGTAAATGTATTGATTGTATCACACATTTCTGGAGGTCAGATCTCTAAAAATAGGTGTCCTGGGTCTGAAATCAAGGCGTTGGCAAGGCTGCACTCCTTCCACTAACTAATATAAATTAACCAAACCTAGAAATCCTACTCCAAGTATTCCAGCAAGGAATTTCTTTCAATTAGATAAACTATTAATAACTGAGTGCAGTGCGTCACACCTGTAATCCCAGCCCTGGGGAGGCAGAGGCACGGGAATGATTGCAAACTCAAGACAAATATGGTTTATAGAGTCAGTTCTAGGCCATCTCAGGCTTAAAACAAATAACAAACATTTTTTTAAAAAAAGATAAATTAACTCAGAGAAAAATAGGCTGAAAACATAGTTCTCCTACCTCTGTCCAATAAGCCCCGGTCACAAGCAACTGCAGTTGCCCCATTGGGGACCCTGGGATAAGAACCAAATTACAGAAATTGTGAGTACTAGGCCTAGGGTTTAACTCAGTGACATAGTACTTGCCTAGCATACTCAATGTCCTGGGTTCAATACTCAGTTCAAAGAAAGAACCTATGAACACTGTCCTACAGCAAATTGTAGAATTAGCTGCTGGAACAAGATATTGATTTTAATCAAATTGGTAAATAGGTAACAAGACTTTCATGTATCTGAAATATCACAGGAAGTGTGTGCTTGGATTAAAACAATCATCATTCAAAATTTAAAGCCATCATTGGATAATCATTCATAGACATTACGTCCTAATTTGTTTCTCTTGCTGTGATAAAACACTGACCAAAAGTAACTGGGGGAGGAAATGGTTTATTCCATCTTATATCTTATAGTCCATCATGAAGGGAAGTCAGGGGAGGAACTCAAGGCAGGAACCTGGAGGTGGGAACTGAATCAGAATCACAGAGGAAGGCTGCTTACTGGCTTGTTCCTAATGATTTGCTCATCTTACTTTTTATACCACAATAGTGGCACCACCCACAATGGGCTGAACACTTCCACATCAATCATCAATCAAGAAAATGTAGCCAGGCATGGTAGCACATGCCTGTAATCCCAGCAATCTAGAGGCAGATGCAGGAGGATCTCTTTAAGTTAGAGGCCACCCTGGTCTACAGAGTGAGTTCCAGGACAGCTGGGGCTGTGTATGAGTGAAAGCGGGATCTTGGAATTGAATTGGGGCTGTTCTGGAATGTCCAGGTAAGTCCTAAATATTATCACATATTTTCATAGGAGATAGTTAAGTAATATACTGCACAAGAGCCTGGAAAGATGAGTCAGTGGTTGAGAGACTTAATGTGTAACCATGAAGACCTGAATTCAAACCTGAGCATCCATATAACAAGCTGGGCATGGTTTCACTAATGCTCATAGAGCTGGTGATATCAGGGGCAGGGACAGGAAGATTGCTGGGGCTTGCAATTTTAAAATTTTTTGAATTTTAAAATTTAAATTTTTTTTTTAATTCAAAAGCAGAAAAAAATGGGAGTTCTAGGTTCAGGGAGAGACCCTACCTTAAAGAAACAAGATGAAGAATGATGGAGAAGCACTCCCAACATCCTTCTCTGTCCTCCACATGTTCACACAGATGTATAGAACTCACGCACACTGCAAGCAAACATGAGTTTACAACAAAAGAGAATATGATGTGACAGTTCCACAGAGCTGGAGAGAAATTTGAAGATGCTACTCTGCGGACTCTGAAAATGGAGGAAGAGACCATTAGCCAAGGAAGGTAAACAGTACCACTCAGAGGCTGGAGGGACAAGGTCACAGATTCCAGGAGCCCACGAAGAGCAAAGTCTTGCCAACAGCTGGATCTGTACAAATGAAGGTGACTTCAGAGTTGTGGTATTCATAAACGTCACAGAACAAACACGGATTCCCTCCCTTGATATGATGGCAACTGAGAAACAGGGATCAGAAGGATTCCACATATCTGACATACCGACACAGTCTGAGAGACCACACTCAAAGCCTCTGGAATGATGGCTGCCAACTTTGACACTCGCTTGCAACTGGTGGAAGGGACCACAGCTCCCAAGGGTCGGGAGAACACTTCTTTTTTCTTTGTTCCAGAACCATCAGTGGGTTTTGTTGTTGGTTGCTTTGTTTTTTGTTTTTTTTTTTTTTCATTTTTACAGGGATAGTCCATAAATTAAAATTAAGTCACCCTAAATTCTTATCATTTTCCTGGCTTTCTTAGATTCCTAGCAGGCTCTCCACGTAAAAGCCAGCTGTTGAAGAATATTTCTTTTATTCAAACAACATGCAGTTTTCTTAAGTCAAAAAGTTATCACACTCTCATTTCAAAAAAAAAAAAAAGTATTTGAACTAGAAATTGGAATGTATAAACCTCCTGGTCTTCCCACAAAGGAAATAATACCTGGTTTCTCAATGACAAAGTGAGATCTACCACACATGGGTACTCAATATCATCTCCTTGGTTTTCCTTTTCGGTTTTTTTGGTTGGTTTTTTTGTTTTGTGTTGTTGTTATTGTTGTTGTTGTTGTTTGGTATCTATTTATTGTGTGTGTGGAGGCACACATGTGGTCAGAGGACAACTTGCAGAAGTCAGTTCTCTTGACCATGTCAGTCCCAGGGATCAGACTCAGATTGCCAAGCTTGGTGGCCATTTCTCTACTGAGCCATCTTACCAGCTGTAGATTATTTAGTTTGTTTCTTTGTTTCCCTGTTTCTGTTTGGTTGGTTGGTTGGTTGGTTGGTTGGTTGATTTGCTTTCCTCATTATAGACGAAATTCTAAATGGTCTTATTAAATAAGAACCACAGAGCCAAATACAGAGTTAAAAGCCCAAGAGATCAGAGCACTAGCGAATAGCCTTTGACTTACCACTCACTGCCATTGCTTCTCCAAAGAGAGAGAGACCGTCTTCCTCTGTGACTATCTTTTTATTGCCTTTCTGTTCTGCCTTCTCATTGGCTCTAAACCCAACCACATGACTTCCTCGTCACTGCCTGTCTATACAGACCTCTAGGTCTCTATGGTTGGTACTGGGATCAAAGGTTCGGGTCACCACTTGGCTGTGTCCTTGAACACACAGAGACTCTGCCTGCCATGTGATTGGATTAAGGGTGTGTGCCACCACCACCAGACTTCTGCTTGCTTTTAGCTCTGACCCTCAGGCAACTTTATTTATTAACATACAAATAAAATCACATTTCAGCACAAATAAAGTATCATCGTACCTCATTGATCTTCGAACGCTAGAATAGAGAGGAACAGCAGCAGCAGAAGAGAGTGACAGGGGCATGAACAACAAGCACCTAACATTGGTTAGATAAGAGAATATTAAGCACAGTGGAGTGACTATAGTTACAATGTTGTATGTGGGTTTTCTTTCAATTTTTACATTTAATTTTATTCTTAATTTATTGTACATGAGTATTATATATTATTTATTGTACCTGAACATTATGTATTATTTATTGTACCTGAATGTTATATATTTTATGAAGAACTAGGATAAATGAAAGTGAAGCTTCCCAACAGAGGGAAATAAGAAATGTTTAAGGAATGGTAAATGCCAGTGGCCTTGATATGACCCTTGAACTAGATGATGCATATGTAGATTTATCATGCTGTGCTCCATAAATACAGAGTCATCATATGTCTGTAAAAAAAAAAAAAAATACAGCCGGTGACTGCATCACTGACTAATAAATTGGAAGTTAGAGCAAAATAAATGTATGAGAGGCAATTACGATGTCAGGATGAGACACCATTGAAACTGCTCAAAAACAGAACGTAGAGACTAAAGAGAAGACACATTGGAAAGCCGCCCCTCCAAATCAGAAGTCACTGATTTTTAACTGAATTTAGGATATAGAATCTTTACAATTTAGAGTCTTGCCATTTTTCATGATGATGTATTTGGGACAATTCATCCACACTTGTAGCATTATTACTGTAAAGTGAATCTTCACTTAAAAGTGTATATTAGTATGTACCTTACTGAGATGTCAAGGTTGCATTTTCCATGATATTCTTTCTTTCCTTGGCAGTTTGTTATAGCCACAATCATGTGCCTTTTAGGAATCTTTGTGTTCTTTTAAACCACAGAGCATCTGGCAATGATTGTGGGAAACATTTGTGTGCATGCTGAAATGTGTTTGTGGAGGGCACTTGGATAAATAGCAAGTTAGTTACTTAATAAGAAGACTGGTTCTCAGTCACAACATCACGTACTCAAAGTGAATTCCCTAGCTTTAGACATGTCTGTGAGTTGGGTTTAGGCAGCAGGTTTCCAGATGCTGAAACGACCTAACCAAGATGTGGGAGGCACTCTTTGTGTTGTACCAGCAAAACAGATGGGTAAGTAAAGAGTCAGTGTCCGGGTGGGTCTCTAAGGTCAATTCATGAAACTATGCAAGTATCTGGGTGTTTACCAACAAGAATCCTATGTTTTATTGTGTGTGTGTGTGTGTGTGTGTGTGTGTGTGTGTGTGTGTGTGTGTGTGTGTAGGGTAGAGGTGCTCGTGGCTATATGAGCACAGAAATCAGACGGTATCTGATCCCTTGGAGCTAGAGATACCTGGTATTGTGAAATGCCTGGCTTGTTCCGTGGGTGCTGGGATCGAACTCCAGTATTCATGATTTCACAGCAAGTTCTATTAACTGCTTAGCCATCTCTCCAGACTCTTTTGGCTTTTTGTTGTTATTGTTGTTTTGTTTCTGTTTTTGTTTGTTTGTTTTTGGGGGTTTGGGGGTTTTTTGTTTGTTTGTTTTGTTGTTGTTGTTGTTGTTGTTGTTGAGACAGGTTTTTCTCTATGTAGCCCTGGCTGTCCTGGAACACTCTCTGTAGACCAGGCTGGCCTTGAACTCACAGAGGTTTGCCTGTCTCTGCCTCCCAGAAGGGTACTGGGATTAAAGGCCTGCACCACCATCACCCGGCTCCAGCCTCTTACTAAATTCTCTCTAATGAGGCAAAACATTGCTGAGTTTAAACCTCTAATCTACACCATCCTTTACAGTGACTTTTCATGGAAGGACCTGTGATAACTGGAAATTTTCCACTGTGCTGTCAAGGTGGGAAAATGGATTCTCTAGGCCTTCCCCCAGTATCCTTGACTTCACTGCATGGCAATATTTTCTCACACATAAAAGAGTCGAATGAAAATGGACCTGTGACCTCGTCACCATTCTTCATATGGGTCCCAAGATGACATTTTGAAAGAAACTGACTTCCTTCCTTTGTTCTACTCACTTTCTAACGAAAACCGTCCACATTGTCTGGTGGGTCTAATCCCAAGTCTCTTAGCAAAATCAGATCTGAGGGAATTCCTCTGTCCCGACTTTTCACTCTCCCTTCCCGTTTGCGAGCAGAGCATTGCGAACTGAAGAAACACTGCCTCTTTGGGGGAGTGAGTCATGCTCTACAACCCACCGTTCTCCTGGTTCCTTCAGAAGCACTCATTAGCATAATGGGGTCCTGAACTACACATGGAAACTGAAATGGATCCATTTGCTCAAGGGAGATATCAAGGTCTTGTAATCAGCAACTACTTCTAAGGAAAGAAGCCTCCCTTGACTTTCAATTCCTAAGTTCATGTCCCTGCAGCTGAGGCAAAGATCATTCCCATGCCACGTCTCCTGATCATTTGGCTCACAGTCACAGCAGGCAATGTCAACTGCAGCCGCTAAATTCCGGCAATCTCACACTCCCAGAGCCTTTTTGGTACCCTTCAGTGACTCCCTTCTGAGAAAGGAGTAGCCCTTCAAGAAGCCATCCTCCAAGCATTCTTCCTCACCTCGGAGTTCCGCACAGTCTTGTCCCCTGCCTTTGTTTCCAGTCAGCTCCCGAGCCATTCCATCATTTCAGGATCTGCATCCAGATCCGAACTCTGACCTGAATTTAAGCTCTTACGATGCATTCTACGCACTTCAATGAGATTAAGATTTTTAAAGCCTGAGTCTCATCAAGTACTCCCTCTCCTCAAAGCTCTCTACCAGCCTATGTTGGATTGCTATGATGGTCAACCTAAAGCAAGTTCCCCAACATGACTTATCTGGTCCTCTGACACCTGGCTCAGCCCATCTCTCACTGCCCAGCACTTCCCTGCTTCCCTTTGTACACTGTAGCGGGTAGCTGTTCCAGCTTTGACCTTGAAACATTGCCCCTTGTGTGGCAGCAAATAACTGCCACACCTACCTATGACCTGCCCCTGGGGTGTGGCCAAGAGGTGACCCCTTAGGACCTGAGATGCGTAGGTGTTCGCTCTCTTAGCTCCTCATGGTCCTGGAGGCTGGATTTGCAGACCAAATCAGAGTTCCCCAGAAAACTACGCTGGACTATGCTGGGCTGTACCTCATCTCTCCTGGATCCTGTAACCGACCCCTTATTGGTTGTAAGTTACCCCTAAAATAAACCTCTTTTTTTTTTTTTTTTTTTGGTTTTTCGAGACAGGGTTTCTCTGTGTAGCTTTGCGCCTTTCCTGGAACTCACTTGGTAGCCCAGGCTGGCCTCGAACTCACAGAGATCCGCCTGGCTCTGCCTCCCGAGTGCTGGGATTAAAGGCGTGCGCCACCACCGCCCGGCTTGAACCTCTTTTAATTACCAGATAAACTACATGGAGTTGCCTCCTTAATTATAGCAATAGTACACTGTCTCTCAGAAGGATTTGCCTCCCATGTCTCTCTCTCTGCTGTCTTTCCAGCTCCACAATGCCACGGCACTAAGGAAGATAATGAGCTAAAGTCGAGCGCAGACAACGCCACTCATGGGCACATAGAGGAGAAGATTCCGATGAAGGAACGATGAATCGTTTCAGAGACCTGTTAGTGGCTAAGGTCCAAGTCACAGGTGAAAATACGGCACATGTAGTTGGAGAAGGTACAAAGCTTAGGAGAGAGGGCAGGGCTGAAGAAAAAGATCTAGAAATAATCCATCAGCCTGTGACGACGGCAGTCATGTGACTATAAAATGGAGAAAGGCGTTGTGGTGGTTTGAATGACAAATGTCCCCCATCGTCTGGCATTTGAACACTTGGTCCGCTGTTGGTGGAACTGTTAGGATAGATTTAGGAAGTGTGGCCTTGCTGGAGGAGGAATGTCCCTGGGAACAGTGTTGGAGAGTTTAAATACTCAAGACATGGCTAGTTAACTCTCTCTGCGGAGCATCTGTGGTTCAAGATGTGAGCCCTCGGCTTCCTGCTCCTGCCTGCTGCCTGCTGCCTCTGATATCACAGACTCTAACCCTCTGAAACTGTAAGCTCAAGCAAGCCCTTTCTTCCATGAGTTGCCTTGGTCATGGTATGTTATGACAGCGACAGAAAAGGAACTAATAGAGGCACCACCTGATGAGAACCAAGAGGCTATTACACGTGAGATAGAATGAGTGGCCAGTGGCTTCCTACTTGTTCAGTTCACTTTCAAAGGACTTTGCATGTGTTATCTCATGGTTGTCACAGCTCTGGAAGGTTCCTAAATGCTGCCTGAAGACGATCTCTGGATTGGATTCTTTCCACCAACACCCCACAGCCGTACCACACGACATGCTAACGCATGAGGTCGCCTCAAGCCATGAGGAGCCCTCACAAACTGTTGGAGGAAGCAAGCATAAAGCCAGCATTTTAAAGTGGGAGATGCTGTAAGTCAGAATGCTCAGGGAGGTGCCAAGTTTAGCGGGGACTCCCGGAGGAGCTGAAGCGGGGACTGGGCCGGAAAGGATGCGATAAGTCACAGTGGGGAGAAAAGAGTTGGCAAACTGGAAGGGGTCAGACAAAAGTTCATGGAGCAAAGGACTCCACAAATAAGAACACGGACAGCGAGTGCTAAGAGCTGCAGGAGATGTGGACAAGTCAAGGGGAGCATGAGGTGAGCTGAGGGAGGACACGGGGAGGGAGACAGGGACAAGTCAGTCCTTGGAGGGCTTTGTAGCCTTATAGCCTCATGATTGGCTTGAACTTTCTTTCTTTTCGGTTTTTCGAGACAGGGTTTCTCTGTGTAGCCCTGGCTGTCCTGGAACTCGCTCTGTAGACCAGGCTGGCCTTGAACTCACAGAGATCCTCCAGTCTCTGCCTCCCGAGTGCTGGGATTAAAGGCCTGTACCACCACTACCCGGCTCGAACTTTATTTCAAGGATGATGGGGAATTGCTGAGGGACTTTAAGCAGGAGCAGGAGATAGACCAGTTTCACATCATCAGACCAGTAGACACATCATCAGCAATGGGGCTGCAAACAGAGAACTGTCTCATTAATGACGGTAAGAAATGATGAGGACCCAAAATAGGACAGCAGAGATCAGAACAGAAAGGAAGCCAGTTTCAAGGAGGGTACTATGTAACATAGTGTGGGTCAGCAGCAAGACACCTAACAGATATTTGCAGAGCACAGCATGCTCTACCTAAGAGGCTAAAAGATCACTGCTTGACGTGGTCATGAACCACTTTAACTTTGGAGGCATTCTCGTTAGCATATTGCAAAAGAAGACACATTTTTTTACCTGAGTAAATCATTTCGTTTTCTCGTGACTTGGCTGAGTTGCAATTAATATAGAAAAAGATGTACTTACTTAGTTAAGGAATCCAACTTGATGAATTCAGAGATAAGTATAGACTCACATCACGAGCTATGCCATGAACACATCTCCCCTTCACAAGGAGTCTTTCTGCCGTATTTATTTTCTTTCTGTAATATAAACAGGAGTTATTCTCTTAGAAACCTTAAAACATACAATACAGTATTGTTATTGTTTCCTGCAGGTCCTGTGCTATATACATGATCTCTATTATACTTTTCATCCATGATAGCTCAAACTTTGAAGCCTTTGACTAAAGTTCTGTCTGCCCCTCCCACCAGCCCATAACAACCACTGATCTACTCTCTCACACAAGTGCACATGTACTCACATACATGTACTCACATACATGCATACACACACACACACACACACACACACACGTGCGCGCACACGCACGTAAAAAATAACACAGTAAGATAGCGGTTTGACCCTGTCTTCCTTCCAAACTTCTATTAAATCTTTTTTTTTTCTAATTTAAAAACAGACAGTAAAATTCACATCATCACCCTGTATAATAAATCTTCGGGGCAGGAGAGGTGGCTCAGTGGTTAAGAGTGCTTGCTGCTCTTCCACAGTGCCCTGGGCTCTGTTCCCAGTAATCACATGGTGGCTCACAGCTACCTGTCCAGGGGATCTGATACCTGTCCTCAAGCTGTCGATCAGAGGTGTCCAAGAGACCCTCAAAATGTCACAGGCCGTTACCCTTGCTCTTGACTATCCACCAGAACAGGATAGCAATGCCTATTGCTGAAAACACCACACACATTGGTCACAGGATGTGGAGAATTCAAACTGGTATTGACTGGTAAGCGTCTCACTGCTGGCTTGGCTTCATAGTCCCAGAAAGTGAGATGTAGGCTTCTAGGTAAAAAAGAAAGCTACCAACCATCTTGCCCAGCTGTGAACCCTGTGACCTGCAATAACAACCAGCCTGGCAAGATATGCCCCTGGGTACCAGGGTGGTACCAATGTTATGGAGATAATAAGCCACTTTCAAATGGAAACACATGCCCGATACTGTAGATCTGGCTGAGAACCCAGGGTTGGGGAGCTCATAGGTAGGCCCCAGGAGTGAATCTGCTTCTATTATTCTGCGAATGGACATGTTATCAAATTTCTCTCTAAATCTGTATTATTCTATCTATAGATTAGTGCAGCCCTCAAACCTCATCGTTGAAGTTCCTCTGTGCAGTGGACAGTTGTAAAGAGAGGCTTTTTTTCTGTCCTGCCCCATCCCACAGCCGCTTCCAAATAATCACTCAGAGGCTTATATTCATTATAAATGCTTGGCTGATGGCTCAGGCTTATCAATAGCTAGCTCTTACATTTAACTTAACCTATATTTATCTATGTTTTTTCATATGGTCTGTGGCTTGTTACCTCATTTTTTTTTTAACATGTCCTGTTTTCTCGGCAGGTGACTGGCATCTCTCTGACTCCACCCTTCTTCATCTCCCTGGATCTCGATTTGGCTTTCCCACTCAGCCTTATTCTGCCTGGCTATAGGCCAAAACAACTTTATTATCAGCCAATGGGAGAGACACATATTCACAGCATACAGAAGGACATCCCACAGCGGACAGTGGTTAACACAGAAACTCACAACTGGTCAAAGGGCAGAGAATAAGTCCTATAACATGTGTATATATATATATATATATATATATATATATATATATATATATATATACCTCTATATTATATAACTACCTATTATATAATACTGCACTCTCTGCATACAGACACATATAGTATAGTTGTGGATAGAGAGGTTTAGTATCGAGGGTTTGCTTAAAACTAACAGAGGAAGGAGGAGGTAGCTGAGAATGTGGATTCAAGAAATGGATACTACTATGTGTAGACAAAGAGCTTGGATCTGTGAAGAACAAAGATTTAGAAAGAGAGATCAGTGCACAGGTGGTAACAGATGGTGACGGCCCCGACTAAGGTTGACAGAGCAACACAGAAGAATCCGAAGCGTGTTTTGAACATGGGTTTCATGCTGAATTGAATGTGTGGGTTGAAGAAAGGGGACAATAAAAGGTGACTCTAGGTTTCCCACTGATAACTGAGCAGATTGGATGCCCTTGGGAAGATGGCGTAAACATGCCGATGAGGTACCAGACTGGTTGATCATGAACAGACTTCCACTGGCTTTTTTTTTTTTTTTTTGCATTTGACTTTGGGATTTTGATGAGAAATCTATAACTATATCAAGTCCAGATCACACAATGTGAGGAACAGTTACGTCCGCGAAAGAATGATTTTTAAACTGAGGGAAATTGATGAGCCCAGTCAGGCCTAATACATAAAGGTAAGCATTGATCAAAGCACAGTATGTCAGGCACTCACCAAATTTACGCTCCAGTCTAGATGGTAAAAACAAGCCAGAGGCAAACATTGTGATGATATATGCACTGTTGGGGCGAGTAGATGCAGGAAACCACTCTGTCCCGGCTCTCTGCTCAGAGAGGGATGGTTAGCAGGAGCCAAGGACCTTACATGCCATCTGAAATATCTTCACCAGTGTTTTCAGTCTTCCAAAGGAGTTTATCATTTCTATTAATAATGTCACTCTCCCTTCTTCCTCTTCTCAATGACTGTATTTCAAGGGCTCTGGATATAATGCGATTCCTCAACCTTGTAGATGCCCTCAGTATCAAGCTACAGATGGATTCTGAAACTGCTGGTCAGAGTAAACACAAGACTAGAGTTCCTCTTGCTAGGGAGCTCTGATACAGTCACACAGCCCAAGGAAGCGCCTGGGGCCTTGAGGCCATGCTTCCCAGTTCCCAAGACCTGTTCTTCAACTCCTCCGTGCCCCTCAAGTTTTCCCCTGATGCACCAGCTGTGAGGGAGAGCAAGTTTATAGGCACAGCTGATTCCAATCTCTTCCTTGTCGTGTCCCAACGCTTTATGATGTGTCGGGGAGCCTCCTGGCGAAGAGACTCTGGAGAAAGGCTTTTTATGATTTTCTTGTTTGTGAGATATCAGGCCAGAGGATGTGTGTGTAACCTGATCAACCTAGTAAAAAATTTAATCTCTTCTATTTTTATGGCCTTCCAGGAAAAACTCCCATTTAGGGGAAAAGTAATGGCTTTCAAAACTCATTCTCAAATATCCTACCAACAGCTTACCAAACATGGGACTAGCCCTGCCAGAGCTCTCAACTGCTGGGAATATTCCCCCTGATAGATTTTGGTTGAAGAGTGGCATGTTTGAGCAATGGGCAAGCAGAGGCAGAGTGGAGCAGGTAGAAGCGTGGCTGAGAATTTTTTGTGTCCCTGTGCAGAAGAGATGCAGGAAATTTAAGAGAGAACATACAATACACTAGAAGATGCTATCTAAGACCTTTAAACAGCCAAGATGCCAGGGGGATAGACAGCTCACTGTATAAAAGCATTAGCTCTGCAAGTCTGAGAGGATCTGAGTTCAAATTCTTGGCACCCACATAAAAAGCCCAGGCATGGCTGTGCATAGCTGTAACTCCAGCACTAGGGGGTGGAGACAGGTGAAGCCCCAGAGCTCCCTTGCCAGACAACCTAGGCAAAGGGTGAGCTTGGGTTCAGTAAGAGATTCTGTCTCTAGTAGAAAATAGATAGAGTAATAGAGGATGACACCTGACCAACCTCTGCATGCAAAACACACACACACACACACACACACACACACACACACACACACACACATCACCACCAACACTAAAGTCTTGCATGTTAGCAAATCTCTCAAACTAGTTTTCATATCTAATTTTACTACAAGCCTGTTGAAGAGGCTGTGAAATCAGTATACACATGCCACAACCCAATTTTACAGATAGGCATACTGAAGTTGGGAAACGCTGAGTGATTTACCCAGGACCATACAGCTGAGTGAGGGGGCAGCTATGATCTTATGGTATCTGACCTCTGTCCACTTTAACCCGGATAGAAATAGTCCCCACCTCTGTTCAAAGACCCCAGCAACCAAATGAGAGGAGACTTGAGATGCACGAGTCTCACAATCCTCCTGTACAGCATCCTCAGTCCAAGGGTTTCTAGCTGCTTCTGCTTCACTTGCCTAACAGGAATGCACATCTCGGATGCCACACCAGTGTGGGGGTGACATGCGAGAACTGACAGATGTAAATCTATCTTCTTTCCCTCTCAAAGAGAAGCAGGTCAGAATCCAGGTAAAGGTCACACTGTATTTTCTCCCCCAAACTTTGTGAAGTCTCTTGCAATTCACTTGCAACATAGTTTAGAATGGTTGCTAGAAGTAACAATATTTGATGCTATGGCCGTAGAATAGCTGCATTTTTTTTCCTTGCATCTACTAGGAGAGTTCCTGATTCAGAACAGTCCACTGTCATCTGTGTCTACTGAACTCTCAGCCCTTCGTGAAGGTAAAAAGCATGGGATTTAGAATGGAGGACAGGTGTAGTGGTGCATACTTTTAGTCCTAGCACCTGGGAGGCAGAGGCAAGCGGATCTCTGTAGGTTAGAGCCTAGCATGGTTTACATAGTGAGTTCCAGGGTAGCTAGGATTATGTAGAGAGATCCTGTCTCAAAAAAATAGATAGATAGATAGATAGATAGATAGATAGATAGATAGATAGATAGATAGATAGATAGATAGATAGATGATAGACAGACAGACAGATAAGACACATTTAAGTTTGCTTCCTAGCTCTGGATAGCTTTGGCAAGTCACTAAGTTTCTGCAACTCGATTCTCTCATTTATAAAGTTGAGATGATAATATCAGCTTTTAATGTTATTTTTGGAAATGAAGATAGGTAGGTAGGTAGACACATGCATACATACATCCACAGAGGCATAGATGATAGATGCACAGACAGTTACACACACACACACACACACACACACACACACACACACACACACAGGTGATTGATATATAGACACACAGATAAACATACAGCAATATTGACAGGTAGATACATAAATGATTAGATAGATAGATG